ACATGGTTTCACCATCTTAAGCAGGCTGATCTTGAACTCCTTACCTCGTGATTCACCCACCTCATCCTCCCAAGTGCTGGGATTACAAGTGTGAGCCACTGCCTCAGACTCTAGTATCGGATGGCTTGGCACTGTTACTAGACCTCTCTTTCTATTTTTTTCAGCGTATATTATGGTATAGAGTAGTGTTTTATACGTTAGCTCATTTTATACTAAAAACATTTATATACAACAATGGGGAAACCACTGCACAGATAGCTCCAACTTGAATTAGAAAATATTGGCCAGGCGCAGTGGCTCGTGTCTGTAATCTCAGCACTTTGGGAGGCTGAGGCAGGTGGGTCACTTGAGGTCAGGAGTTGGAGACCAGCCTGACCAACATAGTGAAACCGTGTTTCTACTAATAGACCCGTTCATTGACCCAAGCCATGCTATGCTACCTGGAGACTCGTCCACCAACCCAGGCCACACTACACTGTCACAAGACCTGCCCACTGACCCAAGCCACACTATGCTGCCAGGAGACCTGTCCACTAACACGGGCCACAGTACACTACTACAAGATCTGCCCACTGACCCAGGCCATGCTACACTGCCATGAGACCTGTCCACTGACTCAGGCCACACCACATCGCCAGGAAACCTGCCACTGACCCAGGCCATGCTATGCTACCAGGAAACCCATCCACTGACCAAGGCCACATGACTTCCAGGAGACCCATCCACTGACCAAGGCCACATGACTTCCAGGAGACCCAGCCACTGACCAAGGCCACATGACACTGCCAGGAGACCTGTCCACTGATCAAAGCCACACTATACTGCCAAGAGACCTCCCACTGACCCCTTGCCCATGCTCAGCCACTGTAGCCTTCTCTGTTCAGTCCCTCCTTGGCCTCCATGGCACCCTGCGATCCCACCAGCTGATCACAATGGATGGCCAGCCTGTCTTTTTTCTGGTCAGTAGCATGTCATGGGCTTTAAGGAGCTTTTCTAAAACTGAACTGCACTGAATTTAGAAAACCAGGATATAAACTGATTGGACTGAACTAGGATAGGAGTTGATTAGATATTAGTTTACTGGGATTTACCATGAATTGCCTGAACCTTTTATATAGAAAATATATTTGGATTTGTGTTCCTGCACAAATCTCATGTGGAATTGCATGAGATTCCCAGTGTATGAGGAGAGACTTGGTGGGATATGACTAGATTATGGGATCAGATTTCCCTCTTGCTTTGCTTGTGATAGTGAGTTGTCACAAGATCTGGTTGTTTAAAGATGTGTAGTATCTCCCTGATCTCTCTCTTCCTTCTGCTCTGGCCATGTGCTTGTGTCCCCTTTTGCTGTGATTGTAAGTTTCCCAAGGCCTCCCCAGAAGCAGAAGCCTGTACAGCCTGCAGAACTGTGAGCCAATTAAACCTCTTTTCTTTATAAATTACCTAGTCTCGGGTGATTCATTTTTCTTTTTTTGAGATGGAGTCTCACTATGTCACACAGACTGGAGAGCAATGGTGCGATCTTGGCTCACTGCAACCTCTACTTCCCAGGTTCAAGTGAGTCTCCTGCTTCAGACTCCTGAGTAGCTGAGATTTCAGGTGCTCACCATCATGCCCAGCTAATTTTTGATATTTTTAGTAAAGTGGGGGTTTCACCATGTTGCTCAGGCTAGTCTCAAACTCCTGACCTCAGATGATCTATCCACCTCAGCCTCCCAAAGTGCTGGGATTACAGGCATGAGCCACCATACCCCACCTGAGTAATGTTTTTCATTTTTGAGATGGAGTCTTGCTCTGTCACCCAGGCTGGAATGCAGTATTGCGACTTCGGCTCACTGCAACCTCCACCTCCCGGGTTCAAACAGTTCTTCTGCCTTAGCCTCCTAAGTAGCTGGGATTATAGGCACACACCATCACATCCAGCTAAGGTAATTCTTTATAACCATGAGAAAATGGACTAATAAACTTGGCTTTCAAAAATGAAAGCTATCACAAAGGCAGTGTCCTGCCCCACCTTTCCACATCCCTGTCCTGTCTGGAACTGCTTTGGGTAATGCTCAGCTGGGGGTAGCACATTACACAAGATGATGCCCTTCAGGTGGGCATGTAATGGCATCAGCAAGGATGAGCTTTCTGTCTCGGTTAAGAGTAAAGACTCTTAAACTAGCACCGCCTCAAGGGCTTGGGGCTCACTTTCTGTTTGCTTGAAGACCGTGCTATGCTCACAAAGTCTGTGCTCCTTTGAGGTCTTGGCAATAGCATTCTCAAGCTGAGCTTCCAGCTACCATTAACACAAAGCAAGCATGGCCTCACCAGTTAGATCGTCACACAAAGTACCTCTAAGAGAACAAGACCTTAAAAGACCTTTGTATTTTTTTACCCTTCATCAAATCTTATCACAAATTAAAGTTTCAGAAATACACTTCAGGGCTCAGCTGAAATGGTTGGTTAGTAATAAAACAAGTTCAAATTCTAATTTAGGTTGATACTTTGAGATTAGATTCCAAGAAAGGAGACTGACTTGTGAACATAAGTACTTCTGATATCTGCAGAACACTAATTTCAAACACATGCAGAAAAAGAGCAATGAACTCCATGTGCCTGGCTCCCAGCTTTTGCAGTGAGCAACTTCAGCCAAGCCTGCTTCATCGCTGCCTACACCCAAACCATTTGAGAGCAAATCCCAGGCAACATATCACTGTATCCATATGTGGAACAGAATCCTTAGTTAGGGGTTTCATTAACTCAAGTTGCAACTGGCTACAACTACAAATATATTTGGTTTGCAAAATCAACTGTCTAAGAAAACAAATAGGCATTCTGTGGCTAAACAGCAAAAGCCCTGAACTTGAAAGGAACATGAGCATGTGCTTCCAGGCCTTCTCATTCATGGGATTCATTAAGTAAATTTTTTCTTTTTTTTTTATTTTGAGATTGAGTTGCCCAGGCTAGAGTGCAGTGGCATGATTTTGGCTCACTGCAAATCTCTGCCTCCCAGGTCAAATGATTCTCCTGCCTTAGCCTCCCCAGTAGCTGGGATTACAGCCACCTGTCACCACACCCGGTTAATTTTTGTATTTTTAGTAGAGATGGGGTTTCACCATGTTGGCCAGGCTGATCTCAAACTCCTGACCTCAGGTAATCCACCCACCTCAGCCTCCCAAAATGCCGGGATTATAGGCATGAGACACCACCTCGTTGAGTCAATTTTAATCAAACTTTTTCTCTGTCACCAAGGCTGAAGTATAGTGGTGTAATCTTGGCTCACTCCAATCTCCACCTCCCAGGCTCAAGTGATCCTCCCACGTCAGCTTCCTGAGTACTTCATACCACAGGTGCACACCACAATGCCCAGCTAATTTTTTTTGAGATAGGGTCTCCCTCTGTGGCCCAGGCAGCAGTGCAATGGTGCCATCTCAGCTCACTGCAGCCTCCGTCTCTGGAGTTCAAACAATTCTCCCACCTCAGCCTCCTGAGTAGCTGGGATTACAGGAATGAGCCACCACAGGCCAGCTAATTTTTGTGTTTTTAGTAGAGATGGGGTTTCACCATCTTCATCAGGCTGGTCTCAAATGCCTGACCTCAGGTGATCTGCCCACCTCAGCCTCCCAAAGTGCTAGGATTGCAGCTGTAAGCATCCACACCTGGCCACATCCAGCGAAATTTTTTGTAGAGAAGGGGTTTCGCCATGTTGCCCAGGCTGGTTTTGAACTCCTGAGCTCAAGTGATCTGCCTGTCTTGGCCTCCCAAAGTGCTAGGATTAAAGATATGAGCCACCGCCCTTGTCTTTAATCGAATTTTAAACTAAGCACTGCTTAAAACATGTCTTGAACTCCCGACCTTAAGTGCTTGGATTACAGGTGTGAGCCACCGCACCCGGCCAAAACATGTCACTCATCAACAGCAGGGCATTCAGAATACCTATGGCAGCAGTTCGCCAAGTTAGGGCTGAGAATCCTGGAATCCTGAGATGTCAGAGCATAAATACCCTCTACTTACTTAAAGGGAGGTTTTTAAAACTTAGTACCACAGGAACCTCTTTGATTAATTAGGTATCTGTAGATCCAGGAGTTCTTCGTATTCTTCATCCAGAAGAGTACATCAAAACAGATCGAATGCAGAGACAGACATGAGAACCCAAGTATTATCTATTAAGCCAGATATTAAAGAAACATTTAAAAATGTAAAGACGTGGCCGGGCGCGGTGGCTCAAGCCTGTAATCCCAGCACTTTGGGAGGCCGAGGCGGGTGGATCACGAGGTCAACAGATCGAGACCATCCTGGTCGACATGGTGAAACCCCGTCTCTACAAAATATTCGCTGGGCATGGTGGCGCGTGCCTGTAATCCCAGCTACTCCGGAGGTTGAGGCAGGAGAATTGCCTGAACCCAGGAAGTGGAGGTTGAGGTGAGCCGAGATCACGCCATTGCACTCCAGCCTGGGTAACAAGAGCGAAACTCCGTCTCAAAAAAAAAAAAATATATAAAGATGCCATTCTTCTCAATAAAAAATTTTAAAAGTTACTTTTAATTACAAATGTTATGCTAACATATAATGGGTTTTTGTTGTATTGGAAGAATTCTGTTTTGATTTCTGCCATGGTGCAGAAAGCTGCAATCTACATAAGTAGAAGCTCTTTGGGGTCCTAAATAATTTGTAAGAGTGTAAAGGAATGCTAAGGTCAAGATGCTTCAGAAGCACTGGTCTAAAGCAAGTGGCTTGAAACATCCTCAGCTGTGATTTGCCTTTCTGCTGCCACCGGCCTTGTATGGACTGCAGGTGCTCTTATTCACTTAGGCCAGGCCATATCACAGCATAGTGTAAATACCCTCTACTACTTAAAAGGGAATTTTAAAAACTTAGCACCACAGGAAACTCTTTTAATAATTTCACAAATAGATATTGAGGGATGAGAACAAAATAAATGCCTACCAGATCAACTTACTTGGCTTCACAAAAACTTAAGAATCCATTTTAAAGTAATTTATATAATGCAGCCCAAGTTTTCAAAGATGTTTTATTAAGGTCGTACAAAAGTCTAATCAATACCATCGTATTGATTAACCATCTAACGTCTAAACAGCTTCCTCTCTCTGAGCTTCTTGATCTTCGTATCTCCTGCCACATCATGTGGACTTTCTGCATGGCTACCTCCATCTCCTCCTCCTTGTCCCAAACCTTCTGCTTCTGAGAGCAGAGCTCTGCGATGGCTCACTGAGCTCCAAGAACTCCTGCAGGGCCAGCTTTTCCTGCTGACAGGTATATTTGAGTTCTTTGGGCTGGGATTTCTGTAACTCTAAAGCTTTGACCAATTGCTGGAAAAAAAAATTACAGATGTTTTATGTTTGCTTAACAAAGGCCTAGAAGGCTGGAGGTTTAGTCTTACACTACACTAAAGAGTTACAAGTGACAACCAATGCTGGTTACAGATTAAAACCACCGATCGGAGAAATCCCCTGCTTGGAAAAAGCCCTGTGATCACCTCACCCCATCTCAATATGCAATGGGAAGACCACCTAGGCTCAGGTGCTGAGCACCAACTCCACACCAAGAAAGATCCTTCAACTGCATGGAGTAGCTTACAGCATGACATCTGGCTCTGTATTGTCAACCTCTGCCTGATGTCTTCTGTATTACTGCAAAGGTGAATAAAGCATTTGGGCACTCAATCTAGTTACTTAAACATAAGCAGAAACAGATAAGATACGTGTGTGTGTGTGTGTGTGTGTGTGTGTGTGTATGTATATATATACACACACACAAAGTGCTTAAGATTTAAATCAGGCCAGGCACAGTGGCTCGCCCCTGTAAGCTCAGCACTTTGGGAGCCTGAGGTGGGAGGATCGTTTGAGCCCAAGACCAGCGCCTGGGCAAAATGGTGAGACCTCGTCTCTTAAAAAATAAAAAGAAAGAAAGAAATAAAATTAAGAAGAAAAATATTTAAATCAAAGTTTCCCTGGATGGAGAGTGACAAGTAGGACTTACTATGAGATCAGCTGCACTGAGAACCCAACCTTACCACTTGCTGCACTGATGACCCTGACCTCCCTGCCGGCAATCTGGTCAACAATCTAGCTGTTTAGTCACTGTCACACATGCAGGACTAAGACTGAAAGTAACACAACCTGGATCAAGATGGCAGGGCAGCTCCCACACAGGGAGGAAAGGCCTCCCCAGACCTCTCTGGGTCTGGCTCAGAGTTATAGTGACTGCATCAAGCAATGAGATGCCACACAGCCCACACTGCACTCCCACACAAGTCATGCAGGTGGATGACACCACAGATGATCTTAAGAAGCTATTTGGGTTTAAAATCTGGCACATTTTGGAGGACAGATCACAAACCACAGATTCAAGGACTTAAGTGTATTAATGCATATATTTTAGCAAACAGAACCTAATTGTGCTATTACTATACTGGCATTTGAACATGAAGTTTCATATATCTTACTAAAAACCAATTATAAAGGAGTGATGGGGGAATCACCCACATTTAACAAATGGGTCTCTTTCGCAGTTCCCTCTCATCACTAAGATGCCCCTTCTAAGACCAGAGGGCATGGTGGGGAGAGAAAGGGGAGGTCATTGGTGTCAGGTGCAGCGTATCACTGTAGATAACACAGACATGGTTCCCCATTCGGAATGGGTGGGGTGGGGGAGGTGCTGCTTACTCTGTGGGGTTGAATGAACTGGACAAGACATATGACTGTTAAGTGGGTGCCTGCCGTAGACAGGGTGCCAAAAGGCACCCATAACTGGGAACCAAGCTCAGATAGCTGACACAGGCTGTGCAGCAACCGGGCACAGCAGGGGCCCTAGAACCAGGCTTGGCCCTAGTGTCCTGCATGCAGCAGGGACAGTCCATGAGCAGGAGTCATGAGGAGTTCTTTAAACATCTGTGTGAACTCAACCTTACAAAACTCTGCAAAGTCTCGTAAGCCTTTTTCACCCAAAACTGAGCTGCCTGCCTTGTGCAGGTCCTCCTTCTGCTGCACCGTGCTGCTTCTCTGCCCTCCCCCCACCAGCTGCTGCATGAAATCTTGGCAAAGTGTCACCTTGTCCTCAAGTTGTCACTCAAGCCTGTTTGAATTTGAGCAAAAGAGGAAATAATTTGTGTTCCTTTCTGTATAGCGACTATACATAAACTGTTAGCTGACTTATTGCAAGGATTTAATAATTCACACATTTTTTTTAGTGCTGTATACTAAATAAAATACACAAGGCAGCAATACCTAGGGGCCAGAAACACTGTTTACTACAAGTCAGTTATGAAATCATAACTTACAGTAAAAATGGGCATGTCCCAGGCTCAATTTTTCCTTTTGTTTTGTCATTTACAGTAGAATAGAGATTTTGTTACTAATTTTCCACACTCTCTACTGGGCATATGTGTTACTTTTATAATCAGGAAAATAAATATTTCAGTCATGTGGCATATAATGATATTTCAGTCAACAACAGACAGGCTATATAACAGGGGTCCCATAAGATTATAATACCGTATTTTTCCTGTAGCTTTTCAGGTTTTATTTATTTATTTTTCCGGTTTTAGATACACAAATCCTTACTGTACAGGTCTGTAGCTGAGGGGCAATATGCTGTACCATGTGGCCTAGGTGTGCAGTAGGCTGCACCATCTAGGTTGGTCTAAGTACACTCTATGATGTTCTCACATCAACAAAACCTCCTGATGCATTTCTGAGACTATATCCCAGCCTCTGAGGGACACATGACTGTACTGAAGAGCAGCATGTGATGTGGGCTACAGCTGAATTCTGTGCATGATGTGGTTGGAGCCCCGAGGAAGGGGAGAATTATGAACTGAACTGTGTCCACCCCAATATTAGACACTGAAGCTCCAATCCCCAATGTGACTGTATTCGGGGACAGGGCCTATAAGGAAATGATGAAGATTAAGTGAGGTCATAAGGGTGGACCCTGATCCAACAGGATTTGTGTCCTTATAAGGGACCAGAGAGCTTGGGTGCCACCTCTCCCCACCCCCAGTGGGAGGACATTATAAGAAAGTGGCTGTGTGCAAGCCAGGAAGAGAGGCCTCTGGGACTTTTAGCCTCTAGAACTGTGAGAAAATAAAACTCTGTTGCTAAGCCACTCAGTCAATTGCATTTTTTGAGCGCACCCAGAACTGACTAAGATGGAAGAATTCACCCTTCTGGGGAGGAGAGGAAGGGGACCAGTTTCCTCCTCTGGTTTCCCTGGCTCTCTGCAGAACCCCCTCCCTGCCCTTCCTCCTTGTGCCAAAGCATCCTTCTAAGGGCAGACCTGACTGCACTGTTCGGAGCACCCCTTGGCCCACATCAAACTCTCAACTCTTAGACATCATGTGTCACATCCCACTGGGGGAGCTCCCTCTCTTCCCTGCTCTCCTCTCAGGAGGGAAAGTTAAGGGCCTGTTTGACCACCCTGGAGGGAGATGCCAGAATGCGATGCTCCATTCTGGTGATGAGCTGGGGTAAGCCAGCACGTCTCCTGTGCTTTCCTCAGAACTGAATACACACTAAGATTATCTTTAGGAGTGGAAGAATAAAATTGGAAGGAGTCACACACCCGGAGTCCCAGCCTACAAGGAAGGCTGAGACAGAAGGATCACTTGAGCCCAGAGTTTTGAGTCCAGCCTGATCAACATGGTGAGAACCAGTGTCCAAAAAATAAATAAATAATAAACAAAGAAAGAAGAATCATGTGACTGTTCCAAACTCCTCCAGAATGGGTATCGGGTCCCTAGTCTGCTCTTACCAGGACAGGGCTGTGCCTTTCCCATTTCTAGTGGCCATAAACTCACTCCCTCTCACTAGAGAAATGAGAAAAGAAAACATGCTCCAAGCACTGTGAGTTATGTGAGGTGTGCAGAATGTATCAGGCCCAGAGAGACAGGGATATGGGACTTCAATCACACACCTCATACCCATTCCTGGGGGTGACTGTTTAAAGACATTTTGTTCTGGATTGGCTTAACCCATTTAGCTTCCTGTTCCTGGAATTTGTGATACAGAAGGCAACGTAGAGCCAATAAATAGCTTATGTTATTTTAATATAAATTCCTCTGACCAGGCCGGCCAAGGTGGGAAGATCTCTTCAGGCCAGGATTCAAGACCAGCCTGGGCAACACAGCAAGACTCCATCTCCATTTTAAAAATTATTGGTAAACAACTTATGAACTGCCCTTTCTTCCCTTTAAAAACCCACTTGCAACTGCTGCTAATAAGAGTATATTAAGGTAACTTGCATCTCCAGGGTTGCAATTCTCAAACCGGGCCCAAATAAACTCTATTTCTTTTCTCTGAGATAGAGTCTCCCTCTGTTGCCCTGGCTGGAGTGCAGTGGCATGGCTCACTGCAACTTCCACCTCCCGGGCCCGAGCAGATTCTCGTGCCTCAGTCTCCCAAATAGCTGGAATTACAGGCGCCCGCCACCATGCCCCGCTGATTTTTTTAATATATACTTTTGTAGAAATGGGGGCAGGGTGGGTCTCACCACGTTGCCCAGGCTGGTCAAGGGATCTTCCCGAGGTGGCCTTCAAAAGCACTGGAATTACAGGCCTAAGCCACTGTGCCTGGCCCAATCACTGCACCTATATTAATTTTAGCTCAGCTTCTTCCGTTTCTTTTTCTTATTTTTTCCGAGACAGAGTCTCTCTCTGTCACCCAGGCTGGAGTGCAGTGGCACGATCTTGGCTCACTGCAACCTCCACCTTCCGGGTTCAAGCAATTATCCTGACTCAGCCTCCCGAGTAGCTGAAACTACAGGCACGTGTCACCACACACACCCAGCTAATTTTTGTATTTTTAGTAGGGACGGGGCTTCACCATGTTGGCCAGGCAACTCTCAAACTCCTGACCTCAAGTGATCCGCCAGCCTCTGCCTCCCCAGGCTCTGGGATTACAGGTGTGAGTCACTGCAACCAGCCCGCTTTTTCCTTTTAGGTCACAAAAGTGTTGGAATCCTTCCACTTCCTGGTGCTGGGTGGGAATGGGGGATGATTGCGGTGCAGCTGTGACTTGGGTAGACAGCAAGAAGGCTTCTCAAAGGCGGTCCTGTTTGCAAAGATCTGAATAAAGCACATCCATAAGAGCAGGCCTGGGGCAACCAGGCAGCAGGCAGCAGTGTAAGGTCATGGTCGAGCCACTCACAGGCTGGGAGCTTACCTGCAAGGCAATGCATGATCAACAAAGGCTAGGTAGCTGCTCCAATCCGGGTCAGAGGATGCCCGGAAATGCCTCAGCCCTGGCACCGCCTTCAATGACGTAGCTGCCTTCCCGCCAACACTGCATCCAATCAGAGGACATCCCCACTACGTGTGTTGAGTATGGCCAATCGTAACTGGGATCTGGGCCTCCGCCCGCCTTCCAGGAGCTCTGGACCAATGGCAACCTGGCACTGGTGGACCAATCCTGGGCAGTGTGCGCTGCAAGAGACTGCCGTTGGGTGCGCGGTTGCATCAGCCGTTGGGTGCGCAGTGGCAGCAGCGGTTGAGGTCAAGCAGTAGCACTGGGCTGCAGCTGCAGAGCTCACCATGGTAAGGCCCGGCTCACTCCCACCTGGCAGACGCCCAGGCAGAAGGGTGGAGGGAGGGATGCTGTTGTGGTCCTGGGTGCGGAGAGGAGGCCAAGAAGGACATGAGGCCCAGGGCGGGGCATGAGGACACGAGATCGTTTCCTGGGTCTGTGGGTCCTAGGGCAGGGACGGCGGCTTTTGTTTTAAAGGAGGCTGATGGCCTTGACTCGGTGGATGGGGACCATTGACGGTGTCCAGCCCCGCAGAGAGCAAACGTGGTGTCACCTCCTGAAGACTGGAGGGCGCTGCTCTGGCTTTCCAGTCTCCAAATGTCTCTGTGCTACTGGAAATGACTCGGGAGCCCAGAAGCCTTTGCTGAAGGGGGTTGGGACTGTGGACATTGGTCAGATTAGGAATTAAAGCTCAGACACTACTGAAATATTGCCTGATTTGCCTAAAAACAACACTGTGGGCCAGGCATGGTGGCTCATGTCTGGAAAGCCCGCTCCTGGGGAGGTCGAGGTGGGCGGCACGGTGTGGGGGTGGGGGTTGTGGAGCCACAGAGTTCAGGATTTTGAGACCAGCCTGGCCAAGGTGGCAAAACCCCCTCTCTACTAAAAATATGAACATTCCCCGAGTGTAATGGTGTGGACCTGGGGTTCCAGCTACTGGGGAGGCTGAGGTGGGAGGATCAGCTGAGCCCAGGACTTAGAGGCTGCACTGAGTCATGATGGTGCCACTGCACTCCAGCCTGGGTGACAGAGACCCTACCTCAAAAAAGGAAGAAAATAAAAGTAACCCATTAACATAAAGAACAGACTCCCAAAACCCAACAAGTCACAAGTCTAAATAGCCATTGCTGTGGCTTGTCAGTTATCTCTCCTTTTTGTTTTTCCTCTGAGACCGGGCTCAACAACAGCTCTATTGCCCAGACTGGAGCACAGTTGTGGGATCTCAGCTCCCTGCAGCCTTGAACCCCTGGGCTCCAACAATCTTCCTGCCTCAGCCTACTGAGTAGCTGGGACCACAGGTGTGTACCACCACATCTGGCTAATGTTTAAATTTTTCGTAGGCCCAGACTGATCTCAAACTGGTCCCAAGCAATCCTCTTGCCTCAATGCCCCAAAGTGCTGGGATGAGCAACCACACCCTACTTGGCAGCACTTAAAGAAACCACCAAAGGACAGTGCAGTGTCCCAGCACTGATGACATCTGGGAGCCATTACACTACTAGGCTTCAAGGGGTGGAGGGAGGGCGTGATTACAAAAATATTGAGAGGGTAGCTTTATGTAGAGGGCCACCTGCCAAAAGTGTGGCCTTGATGAAGGGATTCAGGTCACCCACGGCAGTTGATCAGCAAGGGGCCGAGGAGGGATTACCCAGAGAATTACTGTGACTGGCTATAATGTGGGGTTGATTATTGACATTACATGACTTCCAGGTTTTAAAAGGACCTAATTTTTGTGTAATGGCAAACATTAGGTTCTAGGGTTACCTCTGGATCATAGTATTAGGATGGTTTAGAGCAAGTTTTCACAGGGATAAAGAGGTCAGTCTCCTAATCTTCCTAGGAAATATTAGTTACAAAAGCACCAGACACTGATGCACCATACAAACACTAAACTAGAATATTTTGCATGTCATACAGTTTCAAGTTGCCCTGAAATAAGTGGGCTCACATTTATGTTCTGGTTCACAGCGCGAGTGTATCTCTATCCATGTGGGGCAGGCAGGGGTCCAGATCGGCAATGCCTGCTGGGAGCTGTACTGTCTTGAACATGGAATTCAGCCTGATGGTCAAATGCCAAGTGATAAAACCATCGGTGGTGGAGACGACTCCTTCAACACATTCTTCAGTGAGACTGGGGCTGGCAAGCACGTGCCCAGAGCAGTGTTTGTGGACCTGGAGCCCACTGTGGTCGGTAGGTGTGTGGGCACTGGATGGCAGGTTTCCTGGGAGGGTGGGAGAGCCTTATCAGTAAAGCCCCGTGTGGGCTCCTTTGAATCCTCCTGCAGAAAGGATGGGATAGACGAGCATATGCCTATGGCATTGTTAACAGAGAAACTGAAGGGTTTATGATGAAAGTGTCTGTGACACTCAGCTTCTAATTTAGGAAGACCTGACCTACAGGGAAACGATGCTTTGCCAGCAGTAAGATGGGCTGTGGAGTGATTCCCTCATGGCTGCCTCAGCCCTGTTTAGGTGGCCCCATGTACAGGGCACAGCGGCATTTGTTCCCTCCTGAATGCTGTGCACTCTCTTTCACTGGTGCACAAGAGTCTTGACCTGCAGGTCTCAGGCATAGAAGGTTAAGGACAGAACAGCCATTTGCTTCCTCCAGATTAGAAGCCCGACGTAGTTTACAAGGGGAGCTGCAAAGAGCCAGCACCTTTCAGTGGCCCACCAGGAGATGACAATGTGACCTAAAAGCTCATAGGGGCCCAGGCCACACAGGGTGCCCTATGGGACTGCCCTGAAGAAGTCATACTAACCTGGTGGCTGCCAAGTTTGTAAAAATTTCTAACTTACAGCCTTTGATGTAGGAGAGGATTATGTACCTGTAGAATTACCTGTGTTGGGGGGTGCTAGAGCTTATTTCCCTTCACTGGGAACTGGTCATGCTGACATTTATACTGCAAGCTGAGTTTAACTTCTAGAGTCATAAATTATACTTGCAGTTTGGTTATCACACAGAAACATTTTCTACCAGACCCTGCCACTGTTGACTTAACGACATGTAGGTCATGTACTTTGAACAGCATACTTTATAGAAAGTGAACAGTCCCGGAATGTATCCATCTTGGTGAATACAGGCCTTATAGATTCACAGCACACATGATCTCTTTTGTAGATGAAGTGCGCACAGGGACTTACAGGCAGCTCTTCCACCCGGAGCAGCTGATAACCGGGAAGGAAGATGCAGCCAATAATTATGCCAGAGGCCATTACACCATCGGCAAGGAGATCGTCGACCTGGTCCTGGACCGGATCCGCAAACTGGTAAGAAGAGAAGGCTTCATTTGGACATTGTCCTGCATGGGAGGGTAGGTCTTGGATTGTGAAGGGAAGGTCATTTTGTCAAAACTTAGACCAGCACCTTGACCAGGCACAGTGGCTCACACCTGTAATCCCAGCACTTTGAGAGGTCAAGGTGGGCAGATCACCTAAGGTCAGAAGTTTGAGACCAGCCTGGCCAACATGGTGAAACCCCATCTCTACTAAAAGTACAAAAATTAGCCAGGCATGGTGGGGCATGCCTGTAGTCCCAGCTGCTTGGGAAACTGAGACAGGAGAATGGCTTGAATCCAGGAGATGGAGGTGGCGGTGAGCCAAAATCACACCACTGCACTCCAGCCTGGGCAACAGGGTGAGACTGTCTCAAAAAAGGAAACAGATCAGCATCTTGAGTCCCACTGAGTCTGCAGGTGTCTTACTCTAAGTATGCATGGTGATTTGTCCGTAGATCTTTGTCTGCTTTCTTTGCTTCAAAGTGTAATGTGTGTTTATTATGGATGATTTGAATCCACATCAACTCTTCAGAGGCAAAGAGAAATGGCCCTGGCTTGTTAGAGGTTAGTGGTGTGGCTTCCAAGGGCATTGGCTCACATCGTCTGGTTTCTCTCAGGCAGATCTGTGTACAGGACTACAGGGCTTCCTCATCTTCCACAGCTTTGGGGGCGGCACTGGCTCTGGGTTTGCATCTCTACTCATGGAGCGGCTCTCAGTGGATTATGGCAAGAAGTCCAAGCTAGAGTTTGCCATTTACCCAGCACCCCAGGTCTCCACAGCAGTGGTAGAGCCCTACAACTCCATCCTGACCACCCACACAACCCTGGAACATTCTGACTGCGCCTTCATGGTCGACAACGAAGCCATCTATGACATATGTCGGCGCAACCTGGACATCGAGCGTCCCACATACACCAACCTCAATCGTCTGATTGGGCAGATCGTGTCCTCCATCACAGCCTCCCTGCGATTTGATGGGGCCCTGAATGTGGACTTGACAGAATTCCAGACCAACCTAGTGCCATACCCCCGCATCCACTTCCCCCTGGCCACCTATGCCCCGGTCATCTCAGCTGAGAAGGCCTACCATGAGCAGCTGTCCGTGGCCGAGATCACCAATGCTTGCTTCGAGCCAGCCAATCAGATGGTCAAGTGTGACCCTCGCCATGGCAAGTACATGGCCTGCTGCATGTTGTACCGGGGGGACGTGGTCCCAAAAGATGTCAATGCAGCCATCGCCACCATCAAGACCAAGCGCACCATCCAGTTTGTGGATTGGTGCCCAACTGGATTTAAGGTATGGCTGGGTGATGTGAAGTCCTTGTGCCTTTCAGCAAGCAGCAGACACGCAGAATAATGCTATCCCTGAAGGCCCACATCCTTTGGGGAGCCTACCCCTGTACCATGGGCTAGGTACATGGGCATAAATTAGTGAATCAGAGTAAGAATTCAGCGATGTCTCTTTTTTTTGGAGACAGAGTCTAGCTCTGTCACTCCAGCTGGAATGCAGTGGTGTGATGTCAGCTCACTGCAGTCTCCATCAGCCTCTCAAGTAGCTGGAATTATAGGCATCTGCCACCATGCCTGGCTAATTTTCGGGAGTGTTTGTGTCAAGTACCTGGGACCACACACATGCACCACCACACCCAGCTAATTCTTTTATTTTTCATAGAGATGGGGTTTTTCACTATGTTGCCCAGCTGGCCTCAAACTCCTGGGCTCAAGTGATCCACCCGCCCCAGCCTCCCAAAGTGCTAAGATTACAGGCATGAGACACCGTGCCCAGTTTTTGTTGTTGTTTGTTTTGTTTTTTGTTTTAAGAATTAGGCATTCTCTAAAGGATGTTTGTGCCCTTTCGTGGGTGGCAGAATTCATGTGAAAAAGGTAAGTCAAACTTAGAAATTTATGGGCATTTTGGGGAATCATG